CGCGCGTTCCGCCCGCCCCGCCCCCCCCCCCCCCCCCCCCCCCCCCCGCTCTGCCGGGAACTAGGCATCTTCTGCCGCAGCAGCGACCGCCCGCCCAGATCCAACTTTGCCGCTAGCTCGGAGGTGGCGTGGCGGCGCCGGGGGGCGTGGGCAGGGAAGGAGAGAAGCAGGGTCAGGAGGAGGGACCGCGAGGGGTGGGTCGCCGGCTCGCCAAGCCCTCCATCCTTTCTGTGCACCTTGCGGTCGGCAGGGAGCGGCAGCCGCGGCGGCGACCGTGAGGGGCTAGCGCACACCCTAGCCAGGGAGACTTAGGGAAGCCCCGGACAGACGGACGGACGGACGGAGAGGACCTTCCCCAGCGCCCCTCCACCCCACCCCACCAAGCCATGGCCGAGAGAAAGCAATCGGGGAAGGCGGCAGAGGACGAAGAGGTCCCTGCCTTTTTTAAGAACCTGGGCTCGGGCAGTCCCAAGCCCCGGCAGAAATTCTGCGGCATGTTCTGCCCGGTGGAAGGGTCCTCGGAGAACAAGACCATCGATTTCGACTCGCTCTCGGTGGGCCGGGGCTCGGGGCAGGTGGTGGCTCAGCAGCGGGATGTCGCCCACTTGGGCCCCAACCCGCACGGGCAGAGCCGGCGTGCCAGCGGGGAGCCATCTGTTGAATCGGGCCGGAAGGTGGAGATCCGGAGGGCCTCGGGCAAGGAAGCCCTGCAGAACATCTACGATCAGGTTGGTAGGGGGGTGGGGGGCGGGTGGGGACGGAGCGAGGGACTGACCCCTGGAATCTCGCGGGTGTGTGTGTGTGTGTGTCGGGGGGAGCGAGCATCCCCGCGTGGCGGCCGGCACGAGGAGCTGGGAGCTCTGCCCCCCGCATCTGCACGCGCGCCGCCGCGCCCTGCCCGCCCCTTTCCGGCAGCAGGGTGCGGCGAGGCGCGGGTTCGCCGGTGGGCGTCGGATCGCCCACAAAGGCTGCCCTCGCCTCCTTGCGCCTGGGAGGTGGGGGGGACTCGCGCGTCAGGCAGCAGCTGGTCCCCGGGCTGGAGGCGGCGAGTGGCGATTGGGGTGGACTGCTGGGTCGTTCTTAAATCCTCCCGGGCGGCATCCGATTGCAGCTGTGGCTCGGGGCCCCACCCTTTTTTTTTTTTTTTTTTTTCTGATGCGGCTCAAAGAGCTCAGTGGAGGGCTGCAGTGGAGGCCAGAGGGCTTCCCTGGCAGGGTCTGGAGGGGAAGGGGCCCACCCGGCTCCTCGGGGTGGCGAGGTCTCCGCCTTGGGCGCGCTCAGCACCAGAGTCCCGAGCTCGGAGGTCAGGACCACGGCCAGCGCCCGGAGCCTCTGCCGGTTGCTTGGGACTGTCCGCAGCCAGTGAAGAGTCGGGGAGGCTGTGATGTCACCAAGGAAAGCTAGATAGTCCAAGTGGAGAACAAAGTTCCGCTAAGTGTCTGCAAGGGCTTCCTAGAGCGTTTCCCCCCCAGCGCTGTTTGGAGGGTACTTTGGGAATGGGGCGAGACTGCGTGGATTTATATTTAAAGAGCCAAAAAGAAAAGGAAAAAAAAAAAGGTGGGAGGGGAAGACTCGCATTTGAAGACAGGACTCCCTGACTGTGTCGATGTCGAAACAAAGAAGGCTAGCTTGGTTATCCTCAGCCATGGAAACTGTTTGACATGGACCAGTAATTCCCAGCAGTGCACATTTCAAGTTCCGTGGTCTTTTCACACACATTTCCCTCCTCCGTTTCAGGGTGACGTTTATGCTCCTGTAACATTTTTTTTTCCACAGCTTTAATGTCTCAGCTGATCACTTACAGTGCACAGTTCTTAATACTCGATTGCTGCTCCTCTCCCGTGCTCGTGACGAAGATAAGAAACCAATCTGTGAATGACTGTATCTTGAATCCCGTGTGTGTGCCTTCCCTTCTAGGGCAGCAGGAAGGTTAGTAGCCCTGAAGGTGCTTCCTTTCAGACAGCCACTGGAGAAGTTGGGGGATGTTTGCACATGCTCACTGGGGCCTCCCCGTTGCCTGGCACAGCAGAGTGTTCTAGCATTTGACTTTCCTAGGATCATTTCCAGCCATAGGGGTGGTGGTGATGTTTCCTTTCTTTTTTTGAAAGGTGAAGCGAGTAATCACTTAATTTACACCCAGCCATCCTCTGATTTTTACATTTATATTTTAGTAAGAGGCAACCGGGATCTAAATCCAAAAAGCTTGTTTTATTCTAGGTGGTCAGTTGAAGTAAAAGTTTCTTCTATCTTTTCTTTCCTTTTTTTTTTTTTTTTTTTGAGATATAATCTCACTCTGTAGTCTAGGTTGGACTTGAACTCATGACAATCCCAGTGCCTCCTGGGTGCTCAGATTACAGATGTGAGCCACCATGATCACCAGTTTACTCGCTCTATCTATCTATCTATCTATCTACTATATATCTACCTACCTACCACCTATGTATCTTTTCTTTCTTTTGTGAAGCTGGGGTCCAAACCCAGGGACCGTGTGTGCCAAGCACACTGAGCCACACCCCTAACCCAAATGTCTCAGTGTTATTCTGAAAGCTGGGTAAGTATAAAATGAGTCCCTCTGGCTGTATGTTGGTGAAACATGACCTAACACTGAACTTGAGTGAACGCTCTCAAGTCAGGCAAGATGTTCGCTTCATCCCAACAGACTGAAGGGGACAGAACTACACATGGAGGATCCATGAGAGAGCATGTAAAAGTGGCAGATGAGGTGACTTCTGCATAACAATGGCAGCATATTAATATTTGAGTCTGAAAGGCCGCTTCCCTGGCTGGCTGATCAGGAGTGATTGTTGGAACACACCCCAAATTTAACAGGAACTCTAAATTGTACATCTAGGGCACACGGGGTGGGGGGAGGGGAATTTGAAGACAAAAGCACTAGGCTAAATCCATAAGTAGTTTTAACCCCTGCAAACCCATCTCTGCCTCTGCTTCCTGGTTCTAGAGGTCAATTCTGGCTCAGCCTTTCTGCAGCCCTCCCTGGTTCACTTATCACAAAGAGGCGTTCCTGTGGGATTTTGTCATTCATAACTAGGGACATTTACTCAGCTTGATGCTTATAGTATATGAATATTTCATGTTTCACAAGAGGGTGTTCATGTATGTATAATGACGGTGGCTTCTGAAAGCACAGTCAGCTCACCAGTTTGATAGAATTAGTAATCATTGCTTATTTTGGCCCATGAGCAGGGTGTCTTCAGACTTTTGAGGCATTTTTCTAAAAGCCCTGGCCCAGAGAAGTGTGGATGGAGTGGGTCAAGCTCCCTTCTCCTCCCTTGAATCTGTGTTTGTAGGGAAGCTTGAGAATGGTCAGAGTTGCTGGGCGTGGTGACACACACCTTTCATCCAGCCCTGTGGAGGCAGAGGCTGCTGGTGAGTTTTAAGCCAGCTAGGACTGCATGATGAGATCCAGTCTCTGAAAAAGAAAAAAAAAAAAAGTGTGTCTCACCTACCACACCATAAGTTCCACTGTTTTAGGAAAGTCAAGAAAGGGCCAGAACAGGCTCCTCAGCCATGTTGCTTATGGGAGACAAGAGGGGCCTGCGGATACACTCCCAGGGACTATGAGGTGGGCTGGACAGACTGAGTAGGTTACAGCCAGAAAGCATGAAGAGAGGTTTGCCCCAGGCTTTCAGGATCTCAGGTGTTCAGGATTGGGTGAAGAGAAAGAGCCAGCAGAGGGGTAAGAAATGAGAAAGGCTTCTGTCGTTCCCCTTTGTTCTGGCCAGAGGCCACTTCTGGGCTGCAATGAAGTTATACCGATTCACGTCTGTGAAGGACCTGAACCTTTTGGGATACAGAATAGAAAGATGGCTGTTTTGGTATATTTGTCAGCCTCACGTCACTAAAACAAAAACTTGGCGTGGGATACTTATAAAATAAATAAAGTTAGAACTGTTTAGTTTCATAGTTCTGGAAGTTCAGGATCAGGTTGCTTTATGGGTTTGGCAATAAAGAGAGAATGAGACATGGGCAGGGGAGAGAGGGTGGAAGGAATTATCCCCCTTTTTTGAGCACACCCATAATGACATTGGGAGTTCCCAATGAGAGTACACACACCTCTTCAAGGTCTGTAGTTCCTCCCTGGGGAGCCAGACTTCACATACAAACCTTTGGAGGATGTTCAATATTTAACCATGGCAACTTGCTTGTCAGTGAACATGGGCCTCTGAGCTCCTTTCTCCTGGAATCCCTCTCTTCCATTGGAGATAAGGTTAGGTCAGAAACATCCTCTCATCTCGGGATACTGTATCCCAAAGCCTTTTCAAGGAACCTTTAGGCCCAGTTAGCTACGAACAACCTGTGCAAACTATCAGGCTGGAGAAGTGACTGTCCCCTGATCCAAGGCCAGGTGCTGGTGAGTGGGCTCTGTAGAGCTCTGCTGAGCTTGGTGGCATCATGCTGTGGCTTAAAAGTGTCCTCTAGGATATTTGCTGGAGACTTAATTCTCAGTGTAGCACCATGATGGGAAGCAAGGCCCGTGGGAGCACCCTGCTTTTATGTTGTCAGCCCTGATAATACAAGGGCCCGAGACGCTTGAGTTATGTACCGCTTCCTCTTTTGCTCATGTGGTGCTTTCTGCCATGTCACATGAATAACCAAGGCTCAGGGTGTGTGATCTCCATCTTAGACAGCCAGCCTCTAGGTCCAAACACCAAATGTAATTCTCACTCAGGACTGGGGACAGAGCTCGGTCAGTAGAGTTCTTACTGCAGAAGAATGAGGACCTGAGTTGATTCCTAGCACCCACATATAACTGGGTGTGGGCTGGGCAT